TGATTACCCCCCGGGGGGGTACAGTCGCTCAACTGGAGTGTGAAATGTACATTTGGGGGAGACCATCACTCTAGAATGAATCCATTAATATACATTTTTACTTGATTTTTACAGTTTTTGTCCAACAAGAAATTATTATTGAGCTCCAGCAAAATGTGCAAGGATGTCACTATAATCGTTTTAAATTCCACGCGCGAGTTCTCGACGTAAAATCATTACCGCGTGGCGTGGAAATCGACCCACATGTCATTGGCGATTAAGTCTTCAAACACAGAAGTCTGCGAAAACCTATAATTTCGATAGGCCAAGGAGTGTCATGATATGGATAAACGCGAGCTCTGAAGGTAGCAATTTCGTGTCAATATTCATCATATATTTTTCAAAGACGAGATTTTTGACATCTTCTCCTGTTAACGTCAAACGCGGTATTATCCAGCGGGTGCGCACTAAAGATGACTGAACCCAACAGAAGGCTGAGAAATTGCGCATGCGTGCGATGCCCGGCCCGAAGGTGAAAATTTGCTCGGAAAGTATTGAAATCAAATTAATAACAATAGCTCAGTAAATTATTTCCAATTTCTCCCGGGAAGGGATAAACCTCGTTATTATTTTTTTCTGATAATTTTAAATCCGAGAAGTTCCCCCGTTTTAAATCTGTATGTATTGTACGTATAGTTACGGTGAGTGAGCAAGAACGGTTGAATTACTGCTGATTACGTATTCAGTGAGTGTAACGATGTTAAAATATCAAGTAACAATGCTTAAAGCGGGCATCTGGTGGTTTCCAGAGACGGTAACTTTAGTACTTCTGCATTTTTTTCAATTGGCGATATAGCGTGTACTACGAGTAGCAAGTTATGTCTTCACGAACGCGACGTCTTCCAATCCACCCTTTTTGTGCCCTTGCTCACAGAAAACCACTCTCACACAAAATTATTTGCACTAATTATCCGAGTCGCAGGTATTTCTGATTTCACCTGTTTTCAGATAGTCCTTTTTGTGACTAGGTAAACAAATATTTAGAATTATGTGGCCATTTCTAAATATGCACTCCATCCCATGTAAATAATGTGTTCGATTTCTCGGGCGCCAAAGTAAAAAGCGCGCGACGACACGGATTTTGAGACAGGAAAACAGCCGCCAGGAATCGATGATAAAACCACGTGGCCGGTGACGTCGGGTCTCTATTTTTATTTTAATGTGAAAAATAAAGAAAACTGGCTTCTTTTCATGTATTTGGATGCATATTTCGTGACGTCAACTCATCGTCAATATGAGTAGTTACTTGAACCAGAATGTGTATCAGCTGTGCCGCACTAAAGTGCATTCACGCTAGACAACAAACAATTTGAAAACCATGTAAGGGGATGCTCACATAACTATGGCTAGCTAAAAATACTATTTATGTGGTTCTGACGAAACATTTAGAATTTCAGACTTATAGAACTACTAGGTTAGATAACGGTACTCAACAAAATGTCCGAAAAACTTTCATTTGAAACAGTAAACAGGCTGGCCACATTTGAAATAGTGTGGAAATCGTTTCACATACATACAACATAAATGTTTGTTTACATTTTTTTTTTCAAAATTGCATATACCGGTAAATGTATTATAATTTTAAAGAACGCACTGACTTGTATTAAAGCGCGATAGCCGTCGCACCGCGTCGTGTATGTTATGCAACGTATACAGCGTGTGTAAAATACATTGTTTGTTCACGCGCAATTCGCGCTGCGCTGCGTGACGCATGTAGCACTTCATATACCAGCTGACACTTTAACCCACCCACGTTTACTTTAAAGTTTTGGACCCGTATCATAGGAACATTTTGCTTAACATTTACCTGCCTTCGAGAACTCCAGTCTCGCAATAGTTTATTAATACATAGATTTACATTTTTTAAACTTTGCATATGTTTCTCACAATATACACAAACCACTTCGATCAAGCGCATTTAACATCTCACGCGACCACGACCACAACAACGACGACAGGTCATATTTACGGAAAAATTAAAAATGGTCGCCATTATTGACTAGACTTGCGAAAAGTACAAGTACGGTTAAGGAAATCTAACAAACCAAGTCAGGGGTGTTTTAAAAAATTCATAACTACCCATTCACACTTAGTGTATATGTCCCATGCCCATTAATCGCCCCTAGCAACCATCAAGCGACTGAATTCCGCCTACACATCTGAGAGTTGTACGCTAAGATGCCGTCGGTCTGATGAATAGTATCGTAATTTGGCTGAAATCTGTAATGCTGAGCTATTGTGAGTATGAATAGTGGCGCCTTTTAAAAAAGTTAGATAATGTCAGAGTTTTTACAGCCCCACGATAAAACCTGCTCTGTCGTAATTTGCGAGAGTTCAAACAAGCTGAATCCTCGTAAAGCTCTCATCTGGCTTCCACGTTTCATACCCCTTCATTAAATCAAATTGAATGCCGTTGTCCAATAGCCTTCAAGTTGATGCGTAACATCCGATCCTGAAAGCTCCGAGCTTGTGACTTCTTGCTAATTATTCAAATAAAAAAAAAGATCGACCGTTTCTACTTCATTGAATATTTGGAATTTGTATTTGTTTTAATGTAGCCATTTCTGAATCACACTGTTTCATGGTTTCACTATTATGGGTCAAAAATAACAATTAAATTTGAAACCAGTCGGCCATCTTGGATCAAATAAAGTTATGTTTTCCTATCAACAAGTTTGAGTGGTTTGAGAGCATATAAATTAAAAGCTAAATATGTTAGGGAAATGTTGAACTTATGAAACAACATTGCATAGTGTATAGTCGATAAATTCAATACATCAGTATTGTGGTATGCAATATAATTTGCTAAAATATACTAAATGTTCTATGGATATGCGAAATATCTTCTGTACGGGTGTCAGTCGTACTGACGGGCAGACTGACGGACAGACATTCTTACACACGCAAAGAAGTGAATCCACAATGAGTTCATTAGAAGGACGTTTGGTCTTGAGGAAGTCCAATGGCACACCCGGTCAATATCATCATGGGGATACCTTGATGATGTAACCATGGATGTAGTAACCCACCTTGTTGCATAGCGACGATGTGTAAGTTATTCCCAAGTGATCAAGAAGAAGACCTACATAATTGTAGCTGAAACATTCGCTCCCGCAAGTGCGATGTAATATAGGAAAAGCAACCCTTGCTATTTTAATTTGTCAATTTTCATTATAAACGCGTAACCATCAGAAGTCATCAGATCAGAAGGAGAGTTGTGAAAATACCAAGAGTGTGTGTAGTTTGTACAGCAATGATGATGACTTACAACTCTAGGAATCAACTCATGAACGTCACCAAGTCACGTGCTTAATTAAATTTAAAAATGCATATCCCAATGGGAAGTGCCTATTTGGTATCATTTATTTAATATATATAAATAGTAATGCACTAGCCAACGCATACTCAGAATATAGCTAGGTGTGGCCAATGAAACAAGCTTTATTTGAGTCATTTTTTCTTCTGAAAAGGCCACATTTTATTAGAACAGAATTAATGAGAGCATGGACTTTATTTATTACGTCACGCCTGGGTTTTGTCATGCACATTGCAGCGAGCTAATATCAGAGTCGGAATTCTGATTGAAATGCTCAGTCTAAAATGTGATAAGATCCTTAGCCATTTAAAAGATTACACCGAAAAATTATGAGTGGAACCGGAGCATTGCTGGCCTTCCAGCACATTAGGTTGGCTACACTGCGGGGGGGGGGGCAACTCTATGAAGTGATTGGCTACACTGTGGAGGGATTGGCCACACTGTGGAAGGGTTGGCTACTCTGTGGAGGGGTTCGATACTCTGTGGAGAGATTGGCTACACCATGGAGGGGTTGGCTACTTTGTGGAGAGATTAGCTACTCTGTGGAAGAATTAGCTACTCTGTGAAGGGCTTCAATACTCTGTGGAAAGATTGGCTACACCACGGAGAGGTTGGCTACTCTGTGGAGGGCTTCGATACTCTGTGGAAAGATAGGCTACACCATCCAAGGGTTGGCTACTCTGTGAAGGGTTTACTACTCTGTGGAAGGATTAACTACTCTGTAGAGGGGTTCGATACTCTGTGGAAGGGTTGGCTACACTGTAAGGAAGTTAACTACACCATATAAGGCTTGTCTATTCCGTGGAAGGTTTAGCTACTCAGTACATAAGTTAGGAACTTCTCAAAGAAGGGAATCGTAATTTTGCCCCATTTGCTTCGAAGTCGTTTGTTCAAGCTTTCATGGGCCTCTCTTATAGCAAACCTACAAGAAAACAACGCTTATTATCTCAGATTGTTGAACTCGTTCCGAAATACATGACATATTCACGAGTTGTAATCTTGGAGAGTGTTACTTGAACGATTTCAGAAGCAACCACACATTCTCGCTCGCGAAGTAAATGTGTAATCAAGCATAGACTTTCTGGATGTGGTTTATATTACGCTAGCAAGGCTGGAGCCAGCAATACCGACAACAGCACATCGTTTCAATATAGCCATGTCAAGGATTTCCTGTCTCCGTCAGAAATTAATATAACCATGAATACAACTCAGGAATCAATTTCTGAGGCAATAAGTTATCGAATAAATTGCACAAGCGGGAGTCATAGCAACCAGAGCTCTAATGACAGCATCTGTAATGATCATTGGAAGCTGTACACATGCTGATGTCCTGTACTCCAGCAAATTTCATCTGATTCGTTGCGGTTATGTTAGACAACAAAGCCATGGCGCCGCTGCTTTCCGCATCCCAGTGGGAGTGGTACTTTAAGATGAGACAAGCAATGAAGCTGATGTAATCGACAAGGGTCAGTCAATAAGGTCACGCGAGATTCAAAGGCGTTCACGCGAGATGTATTTAAATAAAATTGATGGAAACTCGCTTAATGAAATACCTTCAAGCAAAGAAGTGTTTTTTTTTTCACTAACGTATGCAGAACATATGTTGACTCAAATATATATGAAAACAGGAAAAAATCGGACTCACCTTCTGAATTTTGCGCTATAATATCCGTGTTGTCTAATCTATTGTAGTTACACAAGTCGTCCTTACAACATTTCAATATCGACAAATTAGCTGTCCTGTTTGGCGGTTGTGTTCCCGCCGTTTCTCCTGTTTCACATAGTTCAATGTCTATCGACTCCATACAGCCATGTGGACTGAGTGGTCGGTCATTTGAATCATTTTCCTCATAGAGTTCCGAATAGCATCCGGTATTCGACTTGCACATATATCCCGATCCAACACAAGTTGGGGAATCACAGTAACAACGAATCAAGCCTGGGGATAAAAAATATAATATTGGGAAACGATTATTGATATAATAAATAAAATAATATCAAAATGAATCGAATAAATTACATGATTAGATTGGCAGTAAATATGTACACATTATAATTATTCCATACTGTTTCCATGGAGACGTCGCGATGCGGAATGAACTTATTACAATAATCGCACTTCGAGGGAAAACAGATTTTCAGTTGGCCCGGATTGGGCTATTAATTGAGTCTCGTTATCATTTTCACATAGAAAAATTGATAGGACAGATATCTTTCGTAATTATTTTCTCAGTGTACTGAATTTTGTATGCACCTGTCACTGTAGATATTGTGTTGTTCTGCGCATGTCTGTCCCATGCGTGAGAAAGCTGGAAGCGATAGTTTAGCCGGACACCGTGCACCACGTACCGATTTAAGTAAAGTAAAAGTGGAAACAAGCCCGTGTTAGCAGATATATTACAGACCAGTTTATAAAACAGTATGCGTGGTGAAATGGAGCTACACAAGCTCACGTGTCAAGGGAGCGGGGGCAAGTTTGCAGAGTCCCAAAACGGCGAGAAAAACAAACTTTCGCAAATGGAAAGTATACATAGTGAAACCCGTAATGTGATAATAGACGTCCATCTGGTGCGTATGGACTGGAAATAAAACAATTGCTATATGCATGGAGGCAAACTCCGTGTCAGGGAAATGTTCGTGGTGTGACCCGTTAGAAACGTCAGGTTGACCATCAAGTAAATATCGCACACACTTCTCAGTTTTAATATTATAAAAATATCGTGACATTTTTTTAAAAACTTATTTGGGACAGGGAATTCATCATTTAGAAATTCGTTTAACAACATATATACCAATAAACAATACACGTCCATTGCGATTTTCTTTTTATTCTTCACTTACTTGGTTTCGTTTTTATTACAAATGGGCAATGTCTGCTCCTTCAATTTGTCGAGCACACCGTGACCGCAACGGCGTTATTGGTAATGCACCATGGGTTGTAATTAATGTGCGTGGGGAGGGGTACAAACGGTAGACAGACGTTTCTCGTGTCTTCACTTGAAAGAAAACTGACAAATTGGAATGAGACATTTCACGGGCCTTAATGATAAATAAAACATTTGATCTCATATTAAAAATATGTTTTTGTTGAAACTAATACAAATGTTAACAACCATATAGGTACTTTAGAATATCTGTAAAAGTTGCAGTTCACAATTGCGATCAATATATAGTTTGAAAGAAGCTCATGTTTTATTTACTTTTCTGAAGTTCGTCTTTGTACGTTTATTCAAAAATAAAATGTTAATAAATCACATGCCACTCTTTTTAATTTGAGATATACGCGCCTTCATCGCGTCGGATTAACCCGGAGGATTCGAATATGATGCCCGATTGAAGACAACATGTTATAATATGTCTAGCCGAGGTGCAAGATGCGTTCTGTTGAAATGAGATTATGTAATCTCATTGTTATGATAGTCTAAGTTGTAACGCTCTTTACGTACTGCGTAGAAAAGGCATGGAAAATGAACCAATCCCGTTGCTAGGCTGTGGGCGAGACCTCTATAAAGTTATAAAGTAATCACGGTGCGACGACCGACGAAAATCTGCAGACAACGCCATTTCACCGTAGCCGTGGACGATATACTAGTGGGCTTAGAATTTCCAGAAAGTCGGTCGAGCCTCGGACAATTAATAACAACTTTATTAGTTGTCTGATTCGATCGGTATTCCGGCACATTTCGGGAAAGATGTTGTAGCGTACATTTGATTCATTGTGAAAATATGAAATACGACTACGTAACCGTGTCACGTGTGTAATATGAACGCGTTGGGTCAACTTGGCAACCCCATATGTATATATTGACAGATACGTGTCACGGGTTAGGTACACTGCGAATTCTTCTACATCACTGTTTGTTTTAGAGCTAATTATCTGTTTACTTGTTTGTTTGCTTAGCTGTGCATTACGAAGAGACTCCCACAGAGAGCGAGGAGATCCCCACTTAACGGCCAAACGTTACTTCATTGCGCCGGGTTGTACGGCATAGGGACTATGACAAAGTAACCATGTAATTTGTTTAAAGGCACAAGTTCAGATGTATGTATTCTGTGTCAGTCAACATCTGGCTGGTGAAAATTGAGAAAGGAAAAGAGAGAGAGGGGGAGAGGGGGTTGATGTAGGTCGCCGATCGAGCTGCAACTATCAAAACGATGTAGGAGAATCACCCACCACCCTACCATCACTCATCTTAGCTTATCTATCTCGGTTCAAATGATAAATGTGGATAGAATAAAAGCCAGGCTACAAAGCAGATAGTGCAGTAAAATTGCTAATTGAATGTGCACTTTGCATTCCTTCCGTCTTACTTAGGCGATAAACACCGTCTGAGATATCCCAGATCCTGCACTCTGCAAATACCAGGCGTTTAAATTGCCGACCATCGCTTAGAACAGTCCGTATATTTTAATACACGCCAGTTTTCGATTGACCGCGGGATATGCAAGTCCGAGGTTTAAAAAGTGATAGAACATGTTGGTCCCAGAGCAGTAGTCAAATACATACGTACATATATACACACAGGCATTCATTGTTTACGAGCCTATTAAGTCTGCATTCAACTAAAAAGACGCACGCTATTTACGCCATTTAGCAGTCGAATTAACCGTAATGCCCGGCCCTTCTTTCTTTTCGCGTCCCGATTCTTGAAATTAGTATACAATGGTTTGTTGGCGATTTTCCCTTCGCGTCCCCTTGGCGTCTTGTTGCAAGCATGTACACAAAGGGGTCTCGAAATCAAATGAAAATGATTCAATCCGCCACTCAAAACATAATAATTCAAGAACTTTCACAATTTTTATCTTCTTTTTGTCCTCTCGACTAGGCACTATTTTAATAATCGCAGCAGTACAATTTTCGTTTTGTGGGAAAGCCAGAATGCATAATTAGTCGAGATTTTGAAGATTTATTTAGTGTCCCACACGGTACGACGACGCCACTGTTCTGTAACTCCTTGTGATATTTAGCATACATGTCGGAGACCTGGAAGTCAAGAATGTGCTTAGAGAGGGAATTAGAAAACTAGACGTTTACACAGAAATATGCTTCCGGTCTGTAACCAGTATGCTTTGTTTTGTATCGAGAATCTATTTCGAAAACCTTATATTGAGTGTTGATAATATTGCTCGAACATGGGCAAGGACGAATCTTCGTGTGATTTAGTAATGCATTTATGGCCGTCGAATTGTTTTTAGAAACTGAGTTGACGATTTGTATGTCCTCCAAGGCTAAGAGTCTGTTTGCTTGGGATATAATGGTGTCCACCGTGATAAGATTGGTGACTGATAGAGACTCAAGCCTCATCACTCATCGTTAATGACATTAATGAGACAAAAATGACGCTACAAATTTATAGCTCTTCCTCGTTGCTAAGGTACCAAATTTTTCGTCTGCCATATTATTTTACCTTTTGACTTCAATGAAATCTAGTACCTGAGCGACTGATTGCGACATGAGCCTGTCGGGACCCAAACTTGTCTTTGTAATTTGTATGTGTTGCCACGTTACCGAGACTTATTTTAACGGTACGTTGGGATTTATTTGACAAAAAATGTACACCGCATTGTTTTAACCTCATTTTTTGTGATTTATGACATGTTGGGTATGAGAACACAGCGCTTAATGCCTAAAATCAAATTACCAGACAAGTCTCTAGGAATGACACAGTGAGCGCAGGTTACCTAATTACATTACGATCTTACAGGTAGCCCCCAGGGACAATTGTAAGTTATGCTTTCAATCTCACCGTGACGGCCATTTTCTTTCATAGATGAAATGTTGAGGCGCCGTCTAAACCAAACATGGACTTTGCACACGTGAAGTACGTAGTATCATGCCAACAACACGCCCTGATAATTTTAAATCAGATTTAAGAGTAAATCTCAGATGGGAAGAGAAAGAAGAAAAAAAAAACTTTTCATACTGTTAAAATTAAATATAACAACGATGGCGTTGCACCATCTGGCCAGCGACCTTTAATGTATGTGCAATGAAACTCAATTGATAGTCAACTGGACCATCCATTCGCCGCATTATGGTTCAGTTCATCGGAGCGACATTTAAAACTAGTGGACCCTATGATACCCATCTTTGAAACCATTCACAATTTGACATTGCTCGAACAAAGAGTTCAGCTGTTGATCAACGCCCAACAAAATGTCTGCCAAATGTTAGCATCTAAATATAAAAGAGCTCAAACACCATGAAGACTGGTATTCCATCAAGTTTCGCGTTTCTTGCTTTTTTCAGCTGCGTTTGAAAATGTATTTTTTCTTATTTGAAAACAAAATCGTTTCATGTACATGATGGCGCCACGGCTGGGCTATCAAACAGGTTTATTGATAAAGATAAGTCAGCTTCGCTGGTAGACAAGCACTCCAACATACTTCAGATCGTGTGCACACCATTTATTTATTCCAAGTTCTTGACCCGCAGCTGAGCATTCAAGACAAACCACCGCACAATATGTGAAGGGGACTGGAGCCGGCATGTTTTGTGGACGTGTTTGGTGTAGTACAATGTGAACAGGAAACACTTGTTCACTTCTGGGTCCGTCTCACTTTAGTCCAGTGCTCACTATCTCAACATCCCGTAACCGTATGTTATGCTGGCACGCAAATATCAAATCGTTTTTTGAAGAGTAAAGCACACAAAGAGGCAACTGCAAGTGGGTGGGTGGGGGTAACGTGTCCAATCACAGTGCTTACCGGGCTAGGCTAACAGCCTGCCAACTTGGAATGGATGGGACATTATTGTTGGGTATCCCTTTACACCGAAATCCTATAGGCTAGCATGTCAGTAGACTTAGTATGGATGAAACAAAGATATTCAATTACGCTTCCAAAGTCTACACCATGTGAAACTCATAACATGATGGCGGACGTCGCTCTTAAACTAACACTGAAAGGAGAATCGCATATTTAATTTTTCTTGTGAATTAACGGACGTATTCCTTTCGTCTCGGGCCTGCGGCGGTTTTTCCCGACCTTCGCAGTGTGGAGACGAACGTTAATTAAAACTCCTATGAGTGCAGTGTCTTAAGTTGCACTTCAAAAGTGACTCAAGACATATCCACTCACTCCATGCCATCACCCACTAGATGACGGTGAGAGTTTCAGCCATTATACCGCCAAAGTCAATAAAGAAAGGTTTGTTGGTTTTTGTTTTTTTCTGAACTGATCAGCGAGGCATTTCAGTGCATAGCAGCCTATTCAGACTAGTGAAAGCATCAATGATTAAGCGCACCTATTATAGTAGCCAGTTGATTTTTTTCTTATTCAAAGGCCCATCAGCAAGTAGAATAGAACGCTCTGAATTACAATGAGGGGAACTAAAGCATTAAAGGTAAGGGCTACACAATGACGACTGTCAGCCAACAGGGGCTAGTGGGCTGCGCATGTTTCCCATCTCCATACAGCTTCCATTCGCACACACACAGTGTAAGTGCAAGCTAATTAATTCGATAAATCCCTATCCCCGTCTGTAGGGCATCAAGAACAAAAATACCGATAATCTTAAAACTAGACAGAGATTGTAGCAGTGGGTATAGACCAGATTAGTTTTCTCGATTTAATCTCGACCGATATTTTGTACCAATCGAATGTGTCTCCTTTTCTGCCTTAATTACAAACATTGCCTTGAGCGCTGTTAGTTCTTTTCTTCAAGCTCACTTGATATATATACTAGCCCCACTGGAGCCCAAAGGCCACTCCGAACATAAAATTGACCTTTTCACCAGTAAACAGTAAATGCAAGACTCAGTTTCGTCAGTATTTAATATGGATACTCGAATTCAACATGTAATGCCGAGATGGTAATAAGAGATACGGGGAAAAAATTATAATGTAAAGGGTCCTGTTCTATTTTTATGTCTGGGAGCTTGTATTTGTTTAGTGTAACCGCATTGGTGTTGATTGTCCCGCTGATAATGGATTTCCATAGATCTCTCCAAATAACTTTCTCTTGTATCAGTGCCCAGTCGTCTGATTGTGGCTAATTAGGAGGCCACGGAACTGCTTACGGGAGAGCATTCATCTCATTATATTGATTTTCGTGAACATTGAAGTTTATATCAGTTTTGCAAAAACGTGTAGACAATAATAGAGGCTATGTGCGGGTCAGATTGAAGCGGTTCGTGTCAACTATCATTAGTTGAATTTCACTTTGAACTTAGAAATACGAGTTGCGGTGACACGAAATAGAACGGCACGATCGCGAAACGTGGTGACTTTATTATTCGCGCGAATTTATTCACATTTGCCTACTACATGCATCAAAAACACACAAATGTTCTAGCAAGGACTATCATACCTAGATGAAAATAGCATTAGTTGTTGTCAAACAACAAATGACTTTCTTGAGGAGAAACCATGAATGGCACGAGAAACATGGCAAGGTGAAGAGGGGTTTAAAACGCCCTGCGGGGTTACTCGTCAACAAATAGGCAAAGCAGTGATGGGTACACGCCATACACGTTATTGTCAAGTGTAGTTCGGTGAATGTTGCTCGCTGTGCCCCTTTGTGTGTCCCTTTCAAAGGCAAACTATTATCGCAGCGGCCATTCTTTACGCTGTGTATCACACAAACTAAGTCAATAATATTCACCGAGTACGAGACGCTCTACGTATGCTATAGTACACGGCAGCAAGGCGTTAAAGCCAGGGAAACACAACAGAAAATCATACAGGCGCAAAACATCGGAGTGAAATGTGAATATTCGACTGTAACTCATTCCTCGGCGTTGTTTGCCCGTAGATACAGCTGAAGTCGGACTGACCACCAGTAGACCCACAGGCAACTAATAACATCGTACGATGTGAGCGAATGAATTCATGCTTAAAAATTGACCAGGATGCCAGGTTGACCCCCAAGCCGGGTGCCACATATATCGGCTTCGGGGGTTATTCATTTACCAGTCAGTGTGGCGTAAAAAGGCATGGTGGTGACCGCACGTTAAAGATCGGAGACTCCAAGCCAAGTGGAGACTGGAAATGGGACACCAAAACTTGGAACAATACACACACAACTTAAATAGTTGCAATGAAGCTGATCACTTAAGTATGCAGAATGCACGATTTAAGCTACACCAATGGAGTCAACAACTAAATACAGCAACAAAACAACTCAAAATTTAGTTTTTAAGACGTGGACGGGCTTCCGAGGACGGTTTTGAACGTTAAAAAGCACCCTACAAAGAGCCAGACAACCGACACGCTACAACGTCTCAATGGCACTGCCACACGTTTTAACTCACAGCTCAGTGTATACATGCATATGTCACTATATGATCTACACTTTACGGCGGCAGGCAATATAGGTCAGAACACACATGGAAGATTGTATGAAACGATCGTAGGCTATGTAAACTTACCGTAAGTCAGCTGAAGACTGCTAAATACAGTGTAGAACAGTATAATTGAGGTAGTCCAAGGCGGAGAGCGTAGATGGGTGGCCATCTTGCCCGCTGTAGCCCCACACACTGAATGCGAGCGATATTCGATCCACCACTCTCTATCCACTGTTACACTGAGTATTGTATTCCGCTTACACACACTTGAGAAGTCTAATGCACGTCGCCAACGCCAACGTTACCTCCACCCGCGACTCTAACCGAATGACACGTTTCAGTATTCGTATGAGTTTTAAGGGGGAACGGCGAACCGAACCGACGTACAGTCACTCATGAGTCCCCGTCACGAAATGGGCGCCTAGTCCGCCCCTCCGAGTCTAAAATAAGGGAGGCGGGGACAGGGCGTTACGTTTAGCCACCACCTAATTACTAGTTAAATGCTAAGAGGCGCCGCGCGGGCGCGGGCGTTTACATTCCAAATAGCTGTCATCACCCCGATGTTGATTCTGTGTATGTTGTTGATGTAATGATCAACCTGACCATTGTCTACTGCCAGACTAAGCCTCATGGGTATATTTGTCTTCTTCATGAATATATTACAAGTCCGGCTAATCTGACCAAGAGTCGTGGGCGAGGTTCAGACGCTGGGAACCCCCCCCCCCCCTATTGAAATGAATGTCTCCCCCTACGTACAGTTCGGTGGACAAAACAACTAGCAGACGCATGGCAAATAGTGTGGAATGTATAACATGTTGTTGAGGGAGAGAAAGGGGTGAACATTTAAATGCACAGCTGAGCTAGGACAAACCATTATTATCCATTAGATTTCAAAGATAAACATTGTCGTATAATTAATTTAATAAGGATCGACATAATGTAATTTGTATATAGGCCATACCTAAGAGGAATACGCCGACAATGTTACATTCTGGAGTATACGTTCTAGAGAATAAGTTGTCTTCAACCGTTTATTGATTCACTAGAGACATGGAGCTTAGTACTTTTTAAAACATAATTATTGACATTCATATGACATGTATGGATAAGGCTTCGACTGTGTTTAGTTATGGCGTGAGCTGTGTGAATGGACTGTTGACATGGCAAATAAACGGAAAACAGTGTTGCAACATACCATTAAACAGGTATGAATCCATAATGGCCCGTTTTTCATGCTAATTTGTTCTTCGTTGTCCTTCTCAATGATATCGGCGCTGAGTACCGCCGACTTGTCAATGGGTTGGCAAAACGGTAGAATAATAGCATTTAGAATACCTTTGCCCCTCTCAAAGACAGACTCTTTTCTGTAGTGAGACACTGATACCCACTCCAGAATGCCATGGAGTAGAACGGATCTACAACGAGCACTCCTTGACTCAGACCCTTCTATTCAAACACACTGTGAGACAGGACTCCAGCTCAACAGGAGCCCGTCCCAAGAAAAAATAACTCGCAACAACAAAATGTTTAAAACATTTTGTGTATCGGATTACTAAACTCTCGCCTGTGTAGTTCAGTGGTTAATCACAGCGGAGGCGACATCTTGTATATTTGCTTAGGACGTGTGTTCTGACGTCTATTGCGCCCCTCTCCCTGGGCTCACGGTTACCAAGCAAGTGGCTACAGGTCCCGCTAACGAGTCTTCGTTTCGCACCTCGTTGACACGGCCATGTAAATTAGATTTTAATCGAACTGCGGGTGGTTTTATGGGGTTTCGCGCATGGACGCGTTCTGTCAGTCCAAATTTATTTACCAACAATCCTTGTGGACACACTTATTCGCATCTTCGGTTCTAGCTGCCTTGGAACATTGCCGAGAATATCTTAAGACCACAGACAAAGTTGACACAGTATGTTAAAACACAAGAGTCACACACATATATATACTTGTCCAGAGATACCCTGGCTTGAAGGCCGTTATATTTACAGTAAGACTATTGACGCATAAGGTCACGTGCAACTTGAATAAACTTGACCCTGAACTGGCAAGTAATCTTTTAATACGGAAAGCATCATACAACACTCTAGATCGCCATCAGTTGCTGGCGACGAACTTCTTGAGTCAATGTTCTGACCACTGCACGGGGTGTTACTATAGGGTCGCTGATACCACAACGTACTGCCGAGTGATTGGTTAGAGTTTCTATCGTGATCATTAAAATAATATTGCCGTCCTGTATGCAAGATGTGTCGAAACACACGATCCTTTGCAAAAATCTACTTGACCCTCTTACAAAACAGAACAGTGAACGAGACAGAAAGTCTAGAGTGAAGGTCTGGGGTGATCTAAATGATGGTAATACGGAGTGGGTGGCTCTGGAAGTTAAGATTGACGATCATGTTGTATTCAGTTATTTTTTCGACAAACAAAATTTGAAAAAAAAACACACACAAAGCGCTTAGCAGGGAATAACCTTGAAAGGTGACCTAATAGTTATCATAGTTATCCACTAACCATTCACGCACACCTGAAGACGGTATTGTAACAAATGGCGGCATCGTGGCACCATCGATGAGGTTTAAAAACAGGTCAACACACACAGAAACTAATAATAACCCGTGAACTCTGCCTCGTGGTTGAGATTTTCACCATTTCACCGTAATCCACAAAATAAAGATATTTATGACGTATTGCACGAAGAGAACATTTTGCTGCACATGGAATATTTATATAGTCACGTGACATTACACATCCGGTATAGTTTGCCACATCAGATATGCATTGGTCAAATTAATTATACATTCTTCAGAAAAAGTAAATCAAAATGCCATTAAAAGCATTAAAATTATTAAAAAACAACAACATTCGTTTCGACTTCGCTTATTACAATTAATGAAGTCAATACATGGTGCCTCCCTCCCCTCTTATCGTAAGTTTTACCTCACGGGAGGTAGCTTGGAAACATTATTTCCAGCAGTGTGAGCAAGCACAGCTACACGCACTTCAGTCAACTAAATGCCGTAGTTTGATAATATTCAGCCCAAAGGCGATACTGTGCTTGTTTAAGGGATCACCATAAATATATTTTCCCGGGGAATGTTAGTTCATTGTTGGCGTTTCGGTAGTTTTAGAACACAGTTTTGAATGTCCATACCAGTTCGCACGAATTATAGAATAAATAAGGTATCAAGCTCCTTGAGAATGGATTAAAAAACACGGTTCGTGCGTCATGGTATATTCGGATTTCAATTTCCCCTTTACTGAGATTATAAAATGTTGCAGCATCCATCAGGCACCACCACCCACGCATTGGACACGATGAAAATAACACGCTTGAGTGTGCTGTATTATCGTCCAGAGTTGCAACGGAAAACGGAATTTGCAGGAATGGCTCGACAAAATGTTTTTTGGGAAAGAAAGTTGAAAAGAACCATAAAAAAATAATTAGAGCGTTCGAGTTTTCTAATTTTGTAGACAATAATTCGATAATTATTTCCCTAAATCATTCCTTTTGACGACAAATATTTGTATAATAATTTAAATGACCGTGTATCCGACTTAATACCATCATACAATATTCAACTACCTAATATAAGAGAGTTGGCAAAATAAGTATATTCTTACAGTCCCGAGACGGTGTCTAGCCTCTAGCATGTTACAACTTTCAGGGTCGAATAGGGAATATTTCTTAGATGCTCGCTGCGTTATTTCTTGAAATTCTTAGCAATTCGATATTTTGTGACGCCATCCGGCATCCGAGGACGCATAACTCTGTACTCTCGAAATAGACACGCAGTGTGACGTCATACGAGCCTCGCAGTCGAACGACGCCAAAAATTGTTGATACATTTGCCGGAATCATCGAGGCGGGAAATACGAGCTGATATTGAAACATTGTCGAAAATAACATCAATTATGACGAACAGACTTCATCCATCCAGGAAAATCCCATGGTGACGGAGAGGTCACAGGTTGTTCCCGCATGTGGGACGCAGCACCTGATCACAGCCATTATGATCTATAACAGCGTCCCACTGCTATCACAAAGCTATAACGTCTGGCAATTATTACATTCGGTGACGACGATCGTATGACAGATATCCGTCCTCAATGAGTCTTACTCTCGCACGCAAATATCCATATTCTCCCCCAAGTCCCCATATCACCGATCGAATTGAACTGGCAGATGCGAGTGGTGGCGCTCTTCAGATGTTTCAATACTAGTATCTTCAAGAATTCTAAGCAGCCCGCTAGCAAATTATACTCTACTTGTGCACATTTTTATCGACATAATAATATAATAAAAAAAATGACACAGACGACGCGATTATTCAGTCCCCTGGTAACATTTTCCCCATACGTGCTCCTATTTTACGGGTTACTTTCCCGACCCATTGTCTGCAGATTATATTGTATTACTCACGTCACAACATGGTTGCGAGAACCACACAACAATGGCAACGGAACACTATACTATTGTCCTCATTTTTTTAAAAAAACAGGAAAAAAAATGAACTAATGGACTTGGGTACAAGGAGATTCATACATTTCACCCTCGCTTAAAAGCCGAGATGGAGTTTCCATACATAGTTGTTAAATGCCAAGGCAGGCAGGGAGAGAGAGAGAGCGTGTAAGGTCTGATTTCTATCAAAGGTTTGATTTACAAACTCATTTAGACAGGGAACGTTGATATATGGCATGTATGCAGCATGTCCGAGACGCCTAATCGCTATACGCTATTACATCTACAACAACAAAAAAACACCACAAACCAATTAATCGCCTATGAAAAACACTTTACTCGCGATTCGGCCAAAAATCCCACCTCAAATTGGACTAATTTAAACACAATTCGAAGTCAAATTTCGAGCAATTTTCTCTGACACAGCGGGAATGCTTTGTATAAAGAACGGTTTTTAGTTCCAGTATCATTGTAAATTGGGAGAACACATGGCAAGTGGATAATTGAGACGCCAGGATCCTGACAGCAGTCGGCTGTGTTCGCTACTAGCATCGCGGCTGTGGCTTCTTTCACTGGGAAACCTCATTAGGCCCAAAAAATCGACGTTGTTCTCCTTGCGGCAATTTACCGCGCTGTCATCCACCTTTTGTTGAAATTGCTTGTTCCATTTTACGTCACATCCAGTATGCTGTCACTCTTCTGACGCCATATTGAAATTGACAGCGAGAATAGAACTGTGAAAAACCCATCTAATGCCTTAATAGGTTGTCGGCTCGCTTATCTGCCACCATCGGGTTGTTTTACATATCTCGATTAACGTTTGGGAAATTTGCAGTTTCACTTGAAATCAATAAATTACGACCTTATTTTCTCTGAAGTAGCAATTCAACGCGGATATTTCCATATTCTATTCAGGCTCTTTGTTCCGTTTCCTTTCATTATGTCGGAAGTACTTTAACGCTCGAAAGTCCGAAATAGCGACACCGTTCTTGTTATTTTAACAGATTTTTATTTTAACATATAAAAACCCAGAACTTTTTATTGCCGTCCACTCATAGCTTCGAATGATATTTTGAACAGTTAAGTCACGTATCTGGATCAAGATCTCAGACGCGACTGGTTAACAAAAGTAACGTTTTTA